TGTGGATGACATTATTGTCACAAGTAGTGATGCACAAGAAATTCATGATCTCAAATGCTTCCTTAACTTTGAGTTTGAGATTAAAGATTTGAGGGAGTTGCGGTATTTCTTGGGCATTGAGGTTTCCAAATCTAAAGAGGGGATTTTCATCTCCTAGCGAAAATATGTGCTAGACCTTCTCACTAAGACTAGGAAGCTTGGCCAACAAGGGAGTTTTCCAGAGATTGTTGGGGAAGCTTCTATACCTGTGTATGACATGACCAAACATTTCCTATGTTGTGAGTGTGATTAGCCAGTTTATGCATGCTCCTACAGATACATATTGCTACTGCAGAAAGGGTGTTGTCTTATCTTAAGGGAATTCCCAGGAAGGGTATACTCTTTGCTGCTAAGCATGGTCATATGAAGTTAGAGGCATATACAGGTGCTGACTGGCAAGTAGTATAGTTGACAAAAGATCCACGTCGGGTTATTGTGCCATGGTGGTTGGAAATATCGTCTCCTGGAGGAGTAAGAAGAAGTTTGTTGTTGCTCGATCTCCAGCTAAGGCAGAGTATAGGACTATGGCCCATGGGGTTTCAGAGTTGTTATGGCTAAGATCCCTCATAGAAGAGATGGGAATTTATTATGATAGGTTGTTGATGTTGTAATGTGATAATTAGGCTGCCATCAACGTTGCTCATAACCCGGTTCAGCATAACAGAACCAAACACATTGAGGTAGATAGGCACTTCATATGAGAGAGAGTGGCCTCAGGGGAAGTGTGTCTCCCTTTCATCTCTTTAGAGGAACAACTAGTAGATATCTTGACCAAGGGAGTTCCTAAGGCGAAGCTCCAACACTATGTAAGCAAGCTGGGCATGATTGACATCAATGCTCACCTTGAGGGGGAATGTAGAGAGGTTGGGCCAAATGGGCCTTAGTTTTGTTCAGTTATTTTCTTTCTTTATTTCTACTGTAGTGGGCTGCCTTTATGGGCCTTAAATACTTTTATTTCTTATGTTCCTTGAATCAGCCACCTAACTAGGGGCATCCATGTAATTTTATCCTATTTATTTATATAAAGTGATTAAAGGAGAGAGAGAGAGATTCAGCTCTCTTCTCCTCCCCTTTTTATCCATTTTCTTCTTTTTCTCCTGAACAGCTTCTTCATTATTTCTTCTTTATTTTCTTGTTTTACTATCCAGATATTGTTGGACTGGTTTTCCTCTGTTATAGCAATATTACATAGAGACGTCCATGGTTATCCAGGGGGAGGGTTAATTTATATTTACATGCATAATATGCTAACTGATGGGCTACATAGTTATCAGCATGTTTCAGATGTGTAAAATTTACAAGATCAAAAGTACTGAGTCCAAAATATGACTTCGCTGTAGCTGTTCTATCCATATACTATCAGTGTATGCTCCTCTTATCTTGTTGATCAAGTGCTCTGCATCTGAGAAGACTTGTGATGTTGTAATTCCTCTCTCTTTCTCTCTCCATACCTCTAGTCCTGCTATGACATGCAGTATCTTGTTCTTTTGTGTTTATGCATCTAGCCATCTTCTAGTCTTTTTATCATACAAAATTAAAAACAGAAATGTGACATTAACTCAAGCACAGAATGGTTCAAGCAACCATATATCATTCAACAATCTATTTTTATCTTTTTTCTTTTGGAAAAAACTGCTCCGTTCTTTCATCTCTTTCTACTTAGATGTGATTAAAGGTATAATTTTCATCACTCTGGCATAAATTATCATTCAGTGGCATTCTAGGTCATAATATTTAGTACTGCTACTATTGGCCTATGGAAGGGAACAAGAGGGCTGATATATATCTTCTGTTACATTGAACCATGAGTGCAGTCAATGTCCATTATGGCTTCACTGGACACAGGCTGATATATATCTTCTTTGATGAGGTTGCCAATGTTATAAGTTTCTATGGCCTTGTCCCATTCCTTAGCCAATAGCCATTTCACATAGGAAAATTGTATGTACATCCTCCCTTATTAAGGCCCTCTGAATTAAGGTAAAACTTTGAGTCCCTCCCCCCCCCAAAAAAAAAAAAAAAAAAAAATCAGATTGCTTAAAGACAATATCATGAATCTGTGTTGTGGCTCTTGACATCATTCCTTATGAGGTCCTCATAATTTATAAACAGTTTGTGTTTAGATGAGGAGCCCTTGGAAATGCTCCCTTTGTTCTCGATATCCTGACATTCCTCTGATGTTGAACCATGATTTCTATCAAAATCTTTCACTGCTTCTCAAAAAACAATTTAATACATCCTTTCTGTTGTGGCTTTCAATGTTACAGTTTTCTCTGTCCTTATTCCATTTCTCAACCATTTCCTTGAATCACATGCATTTTTCCTTACTAAGATCTCTTTTTCATAATTATATAATTCAAGGAGCAGTTCCTTTACCAACCCTCTAAAAAGATTTACTTGAATCTCTTCATTATCATGCATTTCAAATTTAATCTTAAGCAAAGCATGAATAGCCACAATTTTGTTGTTTTCCAACTTCGACCTTGATAAACTTTTTCTTGGAGAAATCTTGTTTTTACGAAAACTTCAACAATCATTAAAAGGTACTCACCTTGTCATCCAATTTAATAATATCATCCAGTCTAATGAAAACATCCAGGATTCTTTGCTTCAGGCTGTCAGGGTCTTTATCTTTTCTCAAGGATGAACTCTTTTTTCGAAGATTTTATCCCTTCAGCCAATTCAGCTCTTCACTTCTTTTCTTTATCATGGATTCATGATTCCTTATCACCTTGTAAAGAAAGTGGCTTACCTGCCTTGCTGGGTCCTCTTTTATGTTTCTCTTTTGGGTATTCTAGACTTTCTAGTATTTCAACCTTCTGACAAGGCATGGTTAGACTTTTGACTTTTTTTTTTTTTGTAATTCACAGGGAATGGGAATGTGATCACCTTCAGAAATTGGGTTCCCTCTTGGGGAATTCAATTTGTAGGAACAGTATGGAGTTTAGTATTTATTTGAGAATTCGGATGGAAAGGCAGCAGCTTTGACAAGTTTGACCTACATCATGCATCAACTAACCAACAGCTCAAGTTCATTATGCAAGATTGTAAACCAACTCTTGCCCAGCTTTTTTTCCCTTTCTCCTTTCCACTTCAGAATTCTCTTGAATATCCCTCAGGACACCCTGTAGGACTACTGCAATTTTGTCTTTCTTGATTGCCCACCTTGCACAAGGAAATAGCATTGTCCATTTCGAAAGCAAGATAAAATGTTTCTTTTGGAATATCTATATGTCAATCCATCTTGAATCCTGTGTTCAGTTTTGGCATTAGGTAGCAATTCTTTCTTTTTATTTTTGGAACAATTTGGAGTATCAGATTTACAACCTTTATCGCTATCATATAATTCAGATTCATTTTTATTTCCTTCTCCACTACTTCTGAATCCACAATCTGCATTATTGGAAGTGCTGTTGCTCATTGTCCTCATTCTCTTTCACTCTCAAGTTTTTGTCTAATATTCCAGAACTGTTGATTTGCAGAGTTCTTTAATTCAAAAAATTTACATCTCCATCGACCCATTGACCCAATTGCTGAGAATGAGTTCCTGCAACTAATTGTTCTTTCAAGCTTGAGGTTAGAATGCAAACTACATAATTGCATATCTTCCAATTCCAAAGTCAATTCATTTTCCAAATCTCTTGGTTAATTCTCTATCCTTCTCCAGAAGAGCAATCTCAGTTTCCACCAGCCGTTATCTCTTAATTCTATTAAGTTTGTCACAAGTTTTTCTTGTTCATTGCTGCTCGCAACCACATACCTATCAGTATCTTCCTGCATAAACTTTGAACACCACTGCAGTTGCATCACTGCTAATATGCAGAACCTTGGTATATCATTCAAGCTCTCTATATCTCTTTTTGTTAGAGCATACTTTCTCAAGTGATTCTTCGATAGTTTACAATCCCAATCATAATTGAATCAGCCACCATTCCCAGAAACCCTAGACATGCAACTCAGGCCATCAAAAAACTCATCCATTTTCCACGTTTTACCAACTATAATATCTAAGAATATAAGCACTGCTTGTGCTTGCAGCAGACCACAGAATTATCTATTCCTACTTACAAGAGACCTGCCTAATAATCAAGGAAATGGTAAACAAATTCAAGGAAAATAAGAAAACGGATGCATCCGCACCTTCGCCAGTCCAAGCATCAAAATAGTCCATCAAAGAAGAAAAATAATTAATCCCACAAAGAGTCAATAAAAATATACTCATAAATAGATAGACTAGAACTCCCCACAGTCCAAACAAACAGAAGAATTCATCAAAGCAAAAAGAACCAGTAAACGAAACCTCAAAAACCAAACGGTTTCAGGAAGTGAGATCATAAATCCTTCAAGCCAATAGAAACCCTAATCAACACATGCAGATAAAAATGAATATGAGAGGATTAATTACTAAAATATTGCAGGGAAATTGATGAATGAAAGGTTAATGCAATCAGCAATCATCCTGCTTTCTTTTTCCCCCATTATAAAATGACATTTTCTAAGAATTAGTTGAAACCGGCTTTTTGCAATCAAAACTGAAATCTCTTTCTCCAGTTCTCTCTATTTCTTCTCATTCATTTGAAATTCAGTTATCTGCATCTCGTCGTCAGTTAGGAGTAAGAATGGACATTCCCATATAATTTCTTTGGAATCATCATGTGGTACGATAGAAATAGGCAAATGTAAGCCGTTTGATGAGTAGACCCTCTACCATGTGTCCTCTTTCTGGAGAAAGTGAGAAACCAGAAGACGTGGCTAACCAAAAATCTGGAACGACCAGGAAGATCTATCTTTTCAAAACTTAGATATAAAATGTGATCATCAGATGAGCGGCCCAAAATAAGGAAAAGGAGTAGCACCATCTATATACAAAATACAGGCTAACATATAGACCAAAAGCGTGCATCTGACATCTGAAGCTGCTTATAGACCGTCATTACCCTCTATAAACAAAAGACTGGATGGTTGTTTTGTGAATTTTGTCAAAAGAAAGTTCAGAACCTTGTTCTTCCGGTGTACCTAGTCCTAGAGAAAAAGGAGAAACGAAGGCCACCATGATCAGCGTTCTTGCTCAGGTGAGCGTCTCTCTCTCTCTCTCTCATATTTTAGCCAACGCTATTATCTCTTTACCTCTTACCCCATGTCGCATTTTGTCCGCTTCCATTTGTATTTCCCAACCATATAAATCTATTAATTTTCCTTTTTATACCCTTCTTCACTTGCATTTCGTTCAATTTTAAAAGGAGGAATAAAAAGAAATCTTTTATCATTTGTTTTTAATGGGTAGAACGTGTTTATTGTTGTTGGGTTACGTAGGAGCGTTTTCTTGGCGCAGCCTTGGGCAGCATTTTCACCGGAGTCGTTGTTTTCGAACAACGCAGGAGCATCTATAGCTCGATTTCAGAGAACCAATTCCAACCCAAACCTCAATCTCAGGTAATTTCTATTTTGGCTCTCTTGCTCTCTTATTATTAGATACCCAGGATTGGTCTTGTATTTCTGCGCAATCTCACCCATCTGTACATTTTATTGTGCGATAGACTATGAGAAATACACGTTGATTTATCTAAACCTGTGCACTTGTATGAACTATGAAGGAGCATATTTTCAAATCCTATCTCATCAAACATTTATTATCCCTTACAAACTCTTTGGCTTGTTGGAACTTGGAAGTTAATGAAACTTGTCTAATACAATTTTCTGGTTATCTATCTATCCATACTACATGAAAAGTTAACACCTCGAGTAAAATGCAGCACATTGTGTGCGTGATTTTTAATATAGGCATAAGAGTTTTATTTTATCTGTTTTCTTTTTTCCTCTCTAGGTTGACTCTTATTTCTTTTTCCCTTTTCCTTTGGTTCGGCTAATCCCGCCTAATAGGTTGCCCTAATTAGTTCGGAAGAATTCCTCCCATTTCAGTTGTATTTCCTAGTCATCCCAGACAGTAAACAACGGAAGCAAAAGGAATATGTGACTTGGTATTTCTAAAGCCATCCTGAATGGTAATTTGGATGGAAATATCATTTGGAAAATTGGGATATGCTAGCTTCATTAGGATGAGCTGTCTTCTTTCTTAACTGGGCTAAAACTAGCCATCGTCTGCAGCTTTCTCGTTTTATAATATAAGGAGATTCAGCAAATGCAATTAGATGGAGTATTGGTAGAGTTTGCATCTCTAGTTTAGATCACTACTTCCCCAAAGATAATGGGAGCTTTGCTCATCCCTTTTGGTTCAGCTGAATCAATAGAAATGTAAATGATGTGGTCAGTGTGCTAGCAGAAACAAGGATGGGAACTGCTTATTTTTATGGTGATGGATTGATGTAACATAGTACTTTTCTGTATGTTCTGATGATATAATCCAATGCATCAACATTGCCTTGCTAACAGAAGAGGAAAACGCATGACTTTCTTATTTGATCTTGTTGTGCTAGTCTGTTAATACATCCAAAACCAAGAATAAAATGGAGAAAAACCCTGTTAAACCCTGTTCTTCGGGTCTTAGAACAAGAAACTAGGTTTTGTAACTTCAGTTGCAAATGTAGTGGAATTTTTCAGGATTTTGTAACTTTAGTTGCAAATCTAATGGAATTTCTCTGGGATTCATACATTGAAATAGACCCATTGCTGAACTGCATTAAAAGTTGTGTTCTCTATGTGATTGTGGTTCTTTGGTATGTGTGTTTTGCTTGGTTGGTTTACAAATAATGCATATTTTTTCTTGGCAAAGTTATTTGGATTAGGGCAGTGACTTTCTGAATTATGTTTTAAATGTCGCTTGTCTTGGGCGAAGGCTCAACTTTGTGGTCGATGCCCCAAAGTACCAGTTGTTTGGACCTTGCTTCATGAATCAATCAAAAGCAAGGTTCTTGTAGAATGATTAGAGAAATCGATCAGGTTTATCTTGTTTTTTCTTTTCTTTTTTAATCTGTTCAATTGCTTCTTTACTTAAAGAAGTCCTAGTGTTTTATCTCACGCATTTTCCCTATGAAACACCATCCCCAGGTAAAAGATTTTCGGCATCTTATAGATTGTCTGGGGAATTCATAAAGTCAAGCTCTGAAGAATTGGTTAATGACGATCATTCAGGTTAATGATTCATGATTAGCTTTCAGTTCAACCAAAAAATCAATCTTATTCTCGAGGGATTCAAAAACATCAAAATATCTATAGCTTACCTCTATTTATCAAGATTCTAACCAAGCCATCATTTCAGAAACATCACTTTGGTGCCTAGTTGAACATTGAGGAAATTTATGTAGGGATCAACTGTAGTGGGTTATGGACATAAATGCCCTAGGATCAGAAGTTTTGGTTAACATGGCTCGTGGATGTGGAAGAAAGTGGAACTGGGAAGTCTTTTTGAGAAGCACAGAGGTAAGGGATCCGCTTTCTACCTGGGTTAGGGTTGGTTAAACATTCTCTGTCACTATATACTATGCCTCAACGTTAGGGTTTCCTGAGAAAATGAAATACTCCAACATCTGGAACTCACATCTGAAAAACTAAGCCCCTGGATCTCATGCTTTCTGTGTTTGTGGAAACTCCATGGGTTTCTCAGGAAGTACAGGCTTATGTGCTACAGTGCTTTCACAGCAATGCCAAAGAGATTAGCTTCATTAGGTACTATCAAATGGTGAAATGCAAAGTAAGTAAAGTAGATGACTGAGGAGTGTCTCAACTTTTTTGAGTGGCCTTATTATTAGAATTAGTTATTTTTTCCCATCCTTCCAAATTATACCATTGCTTTAATTATATTGTTTATTATTTGCTTAATGGTTCAATTCTAGTTGGCCATGAATTCAGTGCAGTGGTATCATTTCCTTTTATTTTTCACATAATTCTAGATTTGTTCAGGAAAAAAAGTGGTGATATAGTGTGCTTAGAGGTAATTAGACGGAAATAGTGGCCATTGCTAGTTGTAAGAGGAAAAGAAAATGGAAATATCGATATTCATGGAATAGCAAAAAAAAAAAAAATCAACAAGTGGGCTGAGTCATTAAGTTTTGATGTACAGTCTTTAGCGTCTCTCCTTGGAATACTATGGAGTCACACCAATTGATTAGAGACATCAAATCTCTGATGAATATGATGGAATCATACCAGCAATATACATGCGCATATTAATTGGTGTGCATTACTTTCTTGTGGTTGGGAAATTGATTTGAACAATATGACCCAGTGAGTTGAATGATATTTGTCCCTTTTGTTATTTGATACAATACAATTAAGATTGATGATCAGTAGATGATTATGACTTCTGGTACCTTGGATCAATCATCCATAATGAGGGGGAAATTAAAGAGGGTGTTACCCATATAATTAGAGCAAGGTGGTTGAAGCGGCGAGGTGCATCTGGTGTCTTGTGTGCTTAGCATATACCAATGAGGCTAAATGGAAAACAAAATAAGAGACTGCTGATCAAATGAAAGAACTCTATAAGAGACCAGCATTGCTATATAGGCTAGAGTGCTGGGTCAGTGGCAAGACTGGAAAGGATGGATTCAGAGACAAGTGCATTAGAGAGCATTTAGGAGTGGCTCCAATTAGTGATAAGATGAGGGAAAGTCAATTGAGATGGTTTAGTCATGTGCATAGACAACTGATGGCTGCATTGGTGAGGCATGAATTGGTGCAAATAAATGGCTTTAAAAGAGCCAAAGAAGATGTGAAATGGTAAAATATTATTCAAGGACTTGAGTTCAGACAGAAAATCGTTCTTAATTTTTTTTATAGGTAACTGAAAATTTTATTAGTTATAAAAAGAAAAAAATGGTTCTTGATAAAGCATAAATATGGGATAGTGTAGCTGACCAAATAGTTGGTATTAAGGCTTGATTGAGTTCAGAAGACCAGAGAAATTGTGGTCAATATTTCCATGCTTTAGGTGATCCATTGTTACATTGTTAAGGAACTTCGATGTTCCTAACAAGAGTGTATGACTGCTACTTGAGTCTGTCATAGAATATCTAGCCAAAGGATGGTTAGGATCCATCTCAGAGAGAGAAAATTCCCCACTAACAACTGTATATCCCTGATGCCATGAGCTATCCTCCATATGGCCTAATGTCTTCTCTTTTGTCTAATCTAAAGATGTTGCTTGAATCATATTCATAAAAAAAAAGATGTTGCTTGAATCACTTTCAACTAAAAGGGGTTCTAAATATATTTTTCCTTTCTTTTATTTATAAAAAAATATATATATTTTTTCTTTCTTTTCTTGTAATTGCAAAGATCTGATAGCAATGAATGCCTTTTGGTTTATTGAAATCATCTTCTACGATCACAAAAAACTGAAAATACCACATCCATCTTTTCTTTTTCCATTAAATAAATTCCTCCCTGCTAAACTGGAATTGCCCAAAGAACTTCCATGAGATTCATGTTTGATGTCTTGGTCATAGTTGTCAAGGCAACACCTAGGCAGGTGCCTAGGAAATGCAGCGCTCATGAAGGGTCTGGATTGCCTCGCTTAATCACCATGATATATTTTTTACATGGTGCTCTGGGATAATTTTATATTTTTAACCTTTTGAGATTGTAATAATAAAATAAACATTATTAAAATCAATTATTCAGTTTAAGTTAAGGTACTAGTTTTTTATTATTTTTCTCATTTGTTAGGGTTCAATCAACATGTATACTGCCTTGAGTTCTCGAAGACTTCAAAACTTGAACTGATAAGCATATTGATTATTTTCATTACAATCATCATCATCATCTTCTTTTTTCACCCTTTCTTTTCCTAAGTCAAAAATAGAGGCTTAACCCCTCTATTTTTCTGAATTTTCTTTTCCTTCTTCAAATTTTTCATGAATATGTTGATTTTTTTTATGTTTTAAATGAAGATTATACTTTTTTTATGAAGATTATAAACAATTATTAGTGAAAGATGGTTACTGCTTGTTATGGAACCTAAGGAATTACCCTATGATTCATGGGTTTTTATTCAAAAAAACCCATCACCTAGGTGACTGGGTGACAATTAATAGTGAAAAATGGGTTTTATTCAAAAAGGAAAAAAAAAAACATCACTTAGCCTCTTGAAAGCTATGCCTCTTGGGATCTATCAAAAAAAAAAAAAAAGAAAAGAAAGCTATGCCTCTTGGGTTCACTGCCTTTGACAATCAAGAAAAACAAAGATAGCTTAACATGTGGAGCAATGAGTTTGCATGATCACAACACTTTCTTTTGACCCTCCAATAAAAGAGGACATGCTATCAACCAAGTGAAAAACAAAGTCACCCAGTGAGTGTTTGCCTGGGTGATTTGGTTTCAATGTGTTTACACCGTCCCAACACTTGTGGTCTTCTAATAAAACATAGGCATGCTATCAATCAAAGGAAATCCAAATAATCCAGTGAATGCATCCTTCTATTGTCATCCCAAATGATACACTAACATATAAAAAAATAGAGTTGCCTATAGGGTTTGCTACCTTAATATGACAATTTAGAAATATCAAGGTAGCCTAATGTTGAGTGATTAGTTCAAATGACCACAATAATTTCATGCAACCCTCTAATAAAACACAAGTGTGCTAACAATCAAATGAAAAGCTAAAACCACCTGATGAATGCATACCTGGGTGATTTAGTTTTGATGATTTCACATGGTCACAATAGTTTCTTGCAACCCTACAATAAAACATATATCTATCAAAAAAAAAACCCTACAATAAAACATATAAATGCTAACAATCAAATGGAAAATCAAATCACCTAGTAAGCACATGCCTCTTTTCTATCCCAAATGATACAAAAACAACCTGCTAACATATGAAAAAATAGAGACTACATCTAAGGTTTACTACCTTATTATGACAATCAAGAATTGCCAAGGTATGTGTTGTGATGTGTTCACATGGTCACAATACTTTCACAAGGCTTTCCAATAAAACACTAAGGCTGCATTTGGCATTCCTTATTTTAAGGACTCATCTCCTTTTTGCAGTTAAAATGCCCCTATGAACACTGAGTTTTTAACCACAAAAAGAAGATGAGTCCTTAAAATAAGGAATGCCAAATGCAGCCTAACATACTATCAATAAAAAAAAAAAAACCGTGAGTGCATGCCTGGGTGATTTGGTAGTCCATGTAGTCACAACACTTTTTTGCAATCCTCCAATAAAACATAGACATTCGGGAGATTTCCTCTTGCTTGGACAAACCCCTGATCCTTGGGAACTCTCTCACCTCTTGTTAGAAATTTGGGAGATTTCTTCTTACTTGTAGTGCAGTTTTAGATGGATTCCCAGAGAGTTAAACCAGTTGACAGATGTCCTAGCAAAATTTGGGTTTGGGAAGGGACTTTTTGTATAGTGCACATACATGCCAAACTTATAGTGATAATTGTTTTTTGTTGACAAGGCTTTGTACATCCCTCTCCTGATTAATGAAATCTGTTATCTTTTCTTAAAAAAAAAATAGGATCCACTACCTTAATAGGAATATCAAGAAATGTGAAGGTAATCTAATATGTAAAGCGATGAGTTCATATAATCATAAAATTTTCTTGTGGCCTCTAAGAAAAACCTAGACATGTTATAAGTCAAAGGATAAACCAAATGACACAGTGAGTGTATGCTTGGGTGATTTGGTTTTCATGAGTTCACATAATCACAACAATTTCTTGTGACCATCCAAACATGATGCTTTCAATCAAATAAAAAGCCAAATAACACAGCAAAGGCATGACTGCTATTGCTATACCAAATGATACAATAACCCACTATCATATAAAGTAGAGAGTACCTCTAGGATTAGGTAATACCAAGATAGCTTAACATGTAGAGTGACACCTAGGCGATAAGATGCTTATGGAGGGCCACCTCAATTGCCAATATATTTTTTACATGGTGCTGTTGGATACTTTTATATTCTTAACTTTCTGAGATTATAATAATAAAATAGATATCATTTATCAAAAAAAAAGATATTATTCAAATAAACTATTCAGCTTGAATTAAAATACTAGTTTATGTTTATTATTTTTCTTGTTTGTTTAGGGTTCAATCAAGTTCTATACTGCTTTAAACCCTCGAAGATTCAAAACCTGAATTAAAAAGCATGAAAGAAGACTCAATATTGTCCAAACACATTGATTTTCTTCTTCTTCTTCTTCTTCTTCTTCTTCTTCTTTCATCCTTTGTTTTCTTTCTTCTTTTCCTAGGACAAAAATAGAGGCTCACCCCTCTTTTATTTTCTGAAATTTCTTTTCTTTCTTCCATTTTTAATGAATATGTTGATTTTCTATGTTTTAAATGAAGCTTTTATACATTCTTTTATGAAGATTATATGGATAATTTATAGTGAAAGATGGTTGTTGCTTGCTACAGAACTGGGGAATTACATTAGGATTCAGGTTTTTTATTCAAAAAAATCCTATAGGTGACAAGGTACCCTCTATCTCTAGCCTTGCCTTGGAGCCTTGGAAACTATGATCTTCTCCACGGGGCTACACAATGGGGGTAGCCCATCCCCCAACTCATGACCCCCGAACCCTGATGCAGGCGGGATTCAATCCCAAGCCTCCGCAGCTCCGCTACAACCAAAAGGAGGCCCTTATCAATCAACCAGTTGGTACCTTGCGGAAACTATGATTTTCGTTGAAATGTTGATCTACTCAGCATAGCTGCATCAGTAGACTAGAATCAGTTGTTCACCTAATGGTGATTTAATGATATATTGATATTGAGAAGTAACCACTTCGATTTGTTCAAAGCACATTACAAATGTTGCCCTTCTTTTACGTTTGACTTTTGAAGATGCTTATGGTTAAGTGTGTTATCCACCTTTACCTTGACAGTTGAAGATATTATACATGATTTGCATTGAGGTAGAGGATACAGTAAATTTCATTTATTTATTTTGGCTTGTCCAATGAGGTATGAAATGCCATTTCTGTTATAACATGAATGGCTTGGACATTTTTATTCATATAATACTAAGAGATGGCTTCTTGTTTACGTTAGTTGGAAAGTTTTAAAGTTGCTGAAATGAAAGGTTGTCAACTGTTGGTAGGTAATTGATTACAATTACTTTCTGCAAGACAATTAGTTGGTAGTTGAAAGTTTGGTCAACATGGTTATTGCAAAGTAGGGTTGTGATTACTAGATTTTTTCTATTGGAAATGCCTCGAGCTCTTGTAGAGAGAGTAGCTGACCGGACAGAAAGTTTACCGTCTTTAATGAAAATATGCATTGGCTCCCCCACAGAGAGCGCTCACAGCACATCCCAACTGTCCATTGGGAACATCTCCCAATGGCAATACAGGAGATGGTCCCGATGTGCATGTGGGGGGTGCTCTGAGGGGGTTCATCTGAAATGAAGGCCCAAATTTACGTTGAATCAGTTAAAAATCATCATCATCGTCATCTTCTTCTTTTCCCTTTTCTTATGGGAGGGGGTTTCTGTAAGTAGGAACAAAACAAATGATATGTTACTCGTAAGTTGTGTAAACTTATGACAAAATGGAATGGAGCTTTGTTTCAGATGGAGGAGAGGAAATTGGGAAAGAAATATCGGTTGGAGTTTACTCATCTGTGGAACAAAGCAGTGGACCAGACGATGGGGCCTATGATTGCATTTCTGAGTTCTCGTGGGTGGTAGATGAGAACATTGAATAGTTAAATACCAAACATGGACTTTTACTAGCTCTGCTTTTTAATTGTATTCCTCCCATTTGCAGTTTTCTGTTCTGAAATTAAATGATGAAAATAACATGCCAATCCCTCCCTGATTCATCATTATATTGATTGCATTGCAATGAGACTGTTTCATTCATGACATGAGCAAGCACAATTTAGATCAAGAATAAACAGAGGATGAAAACCTTGTTTATTTATTCAAATAATATATTATTATATCCAAATATAAAGTCTACGGTAGAAGTAGTAGAACCAAATGTTTTTGATCGCCAGAGACAAACCAAGCCCTACCCTATTGTTCTATAATAATTACTGAGCTTAGCTTAGCTTATCAGTGATAAAAATAGTAACGATTAAATAACGTTCCCCTCCCTAAAAAGGAATAGATATCATCAATACTGCGATACGTCACCAACACCACCACCGGATTGTTCATTGTCGTCGGTGGTGGCTCCGGCACTTTCGGCTCGGCTTCGTAGCCAGTCCACAATCTCGCCGAAGACCAACTCAACGTTGTCCTCGGATTCGCCTACCAACTGATGCCACATCCCGGGGTACACCCGAATGGTCTTATCCTTACTGGCTGCACGCTGGTAAAGATCCTCCACGCAAGCCGGGTCGCAGATCACGTCGTCTGCACCGTGCACGATCAGCAGCGGTGCATCCACCTCGCTCAACCTACCCTGCACCTCCCTGCACACTCTCAGCAGCTCCAGCGCCGTCGCAGCGCGGGGCCTGGCCGAGCTACGCCTCGGACTCGCTAACGCCAGCCGTCTCTTCCAGTCTTCCTTGAACGACCTCTCCACGATCGAACCGCGGGTGGGGACAACCTGCCACGTGGGTATCACTGCAGAAACCAGTGACAAGAAGTGCTCCAACGGCCAAGGAGGCTTGAATTTGGAGCTGATTCCGCACATGGCGCCGTTGAGCACGAGGCCGTGCCAGGGCCGGGGCCCGCGTCGGAGGTGCAAAAGGACTGCGATCGCTCCGCCGAGGGACTCGGCGTAGAGGAAGGCCGGTAGCGAAGGCGGGTAGCGCGCTCGGAAGGACTCGAAGTAGGTCTGGCAGTCGTCGACGACGGGGTTGATGTCAGGGATGTGGTTCTTGAGACCCTCGGAGAAGCCGTGGCCTTGGTGATCGATAGCGCAGGTGGCGAAGCCGGACTTAGCAAAGAGAATGGAAGTGAGCTGGACGAACCAGCTGGACTCACCGGTGAAGCCGTGGACGACGGCGACGATGCCGATGACCTTGGTAGGGGGGAATGGGGTCCAAGATTGGGTGAAGAGCTTTAGTCCTCTGGAGTTGGTTATATGGTCGGAGGAATGAGAGACGGAGTGTCGGGCGTAGAACTCAGAAGGCGAGAGCGATCCGAAGGGGCTTTGATCGTTGGCATCTGCTACTGGGTGCACCATCTCTCTCCCGGGACAAAATGCGCTGGGAAGATAGAGAAGAAGAAAACGGAGGGAAGGATCTGGAAGGAGTCCTGCAGAGTTAAGAGTAAAAGAGCAGATCACAAGTCTACCAGATAGTTGGCTAATAACAATTGTGTGGGTGGGGGGAGTTGTCACTAATTACTCTCTCTCTCTCTCTCTCTCTCTCGCTCCTCTATTAAGTATTAGTAAAACTCGTTGGCCCATCACTCCGTCTCACTTCCTCTGATCATAGGGTACCAGATCTGTACCAAAGGTGTATCAGTTGAGTTAATTACTGAAGGTGAAGGGGGAGGGGTTGCCATATTTTGGTACAGATCAGTAGACCACCGTAGAATGGCCAAAAGGTGAATTGGCACCTATCTTAATTGTACTTTAGACCTAAAAATTCTGACATTGAGCTGAACCGTTATTCTCCCAATGAAAAATTGTTTTCCTTTTTTTAAGTAGAGTCTCCAAACTCAAATCCGATAGATAAAGGTGGGTCAGAGGTGTGGGTCATCTGCTCCTGTACAAATACTAATAAACATGAAAGAAACAGACATTGGCATTGATAGTTGATGGGTGGGCTTGGATAAGTTATGGCACGCCTGACGTATGAACGTAACAAAGCGGCAAAGCCCACTGATGAATGGAAATTTGGCCCGACCTCGCCATCATTCGACGCGTGGCAAAAGCGAACAGCTCGGGGCAACAGAGCACCCAAAATACACCAAAAGAAAAAGGAGCACGAGCTCCCTACTAGGAGCCCGAGCTCCCTACTAAGAACCCGAGCTACCTGCTAGGAGCCCGAGCTCCCTGCTAAGAACCCGAGCTCCCTGCTAGGAGCCCGAGCTCGCTACTAAGGACCCGAGCTCCCTACAAGGAGCCCGAGCTCTCTCCTGTGCCATAAACCTCACGAGGCCGTGAC